AATGGTTTGGCTAGTGAACCATGAAGGAATGCATTTTTGACATCAAGCTGACTAATTTCCCATCCTTTAACCACGACAACAGTCTAAGCAAGGCGAATGCTTGCAAATTTAATGACTGGAGAAAATGTTTCAAAAAAATCGATTCCATTGACTTGATTAAACCCCTTTGCCACGAGGCAAGCTTTTAGTCGATCTAGAGAACCATCTGACTTGAGCTTAGTCTTATAAACCCATTTACAATCGACAACATTCATGTGGGGACGAAAAGGAACTAAAACCCGAGTTTGGTTTGTAGCTAACACAACCAACTCCTCATCCATAGTAGCTACCCAACCAAGGTGTTGTTTGGCAGCCTTGACAGAACGCGATTCAGCAGGAATGTCACCATAAGGATGAGATATATGAAGATTTAGGTATTTAGGATTTGGTTTGTGGATGCCCAGCTGAGAGCGTGTGATCCTGGGATGTGGTGGAGGTAGTGGTAAGGCAGCAGAATGCATGGTAAATGTAGCAGGCAATGAACTGAGGTCAGGTGCTGCAGCTCAGGAACTGTTCGACAATGGCAAAGTACACTGTGGGGATGCGGCAGAAGAGCATGGTGAAACCAATACATTTGTGGAACCTTGGCCAAAAACAAGAGCACTGGGCCGTCCAGAGAGTATAGGGGACTTTGATTCAGAAGAAACATCAGACTTTGATTCAGGATGCATAGGGGGTGAAAAGGCAGATGGGGCTGGGATGGCACCACAACTGGAAGGCATTTCCCAATCCGAAAATGTGCAAAGATCACCATCAAAAGACCCCGTGTCATATAAGCGAGTGGGCTCCAAAAAAGGTAGAACCTTTTCATCAAATACAACATGGCGGTGGATAAAAGCATTTATATCCTTTATGTTTGATACTGTAGCCAATAAATACACAAGGAAGGGATTTGGGTTGTAATTTGTTTGCTCGATAGTCTCCAAGATAGGGAAAACACTTGGATCCTAATACACGAAGTGTAGAATAATCCGGAGGCTTTCTATAGAGGCGAAGAAACGGAGAATCCATTCCAAGACGAAGAGATGGTAACCGATTGATCAAAAAAATAGCCATNATAATCCGGAGGCTTTCCATAGAGGCGAAGAAACGGAGAATCCATTCCAAGACGAAGAGATGGTAACCAATTGATCAAAAAAATAGTCGTAGAGAAACAATCAACCCAAAACCGTTGTGGAAGATGAGCATGAAACATCATAGTAAGTCCCAATTCTGTGATATTGCGATGTTTTCATTCAGCTTTCCCATTTTGCTCGGGGGTTTTGGGACAGGCCGATTCATGATGAATACCCTTATTTGCCAAGTATTGTTTGAAATGAGTAGCAGCAAATTCACCACCCTTGTCACTTTGAAACACCCGGATTTTAGCATCAAACTGACATGTGACAAACTTGTAAAATTGATCAAAACATGCAAGCAAATCAAACTTGTACCGCATTGGAAAAAACCATGTAAAATTGGTGAATTCATCAGCAAAAATAATGTAGAATCGGAATTGTTCTCTAGATCTGACCGGAGCCGGTCCCCACAAATCACAATGAATTTTATGAGATGGTGAATTTATTTTACGATCAACTAGTAAAAATGGTANATTGTTCTCTAGATCTGACCGGAGCCGGTCCCCACAAATCACAATGAATTTTATGAAATGGTGAATTTATTTTACGGTCCCCACAAACGACATGACTTGCCCATTTAGCAGCTAGTACATACTGTGGAGGACTTATTTTTTGAGTCAAAATAAATAAATGCTCTAGAGTGCAAGTGATCGTCAACAATCATTATCAACTTGTTGNTTTTACGGTCCCCACAAACGACATGACTTGCCCATTTAGCAGCTAGTACATACTGTGGAGGACTTATTTTTTGAGTCAAAATAAATAAATGCTCTAGAGTGCAAGTGATCAATGACACGTTGATGTGGATGCCCTAGACGATGATGCCAACAATCATTATCAACTTGTTGAAACCGACGAGAGAAGAAGGCAGTTGGAGCTTCGTCCAAGGCATACAATCCACTGTGCTTGCTCCCTTTCGCCACTATCTTGTTGGTCATCAAGTCCTTGATCACAAAATCATGCCCATCAAATATAAAAGTGAGAGGAAATTCAGTGGTAAGCTTGATAACAGAAAGCAAATCTTTTTTTATATCTGGGACCAGGAGCACATTATTCAATTTAAGAGATGTAGTACCAACACCAATTGTGGCTTGACCAGTATGAGTGATCGGCAAAGTATGGCCATTTCCAACCTTGACACCATCAGAGCCGCGATAAGGGAGCAAAGAATGGAGATCACCTGGACTGCTCATGATGTGATATGTGGCTCCTGTGTCCAGAAACCAAGCAGAATCCTGAGTATTAGCTANTATAAAAGTGAGAGGAAATTCAGTGGTAAGCTTGATAACAGAAAGCAAATCTTTTTTTATATCTGGGACCAGGAGCACATTATTCAATTTAAGAGATGTAGTACCAACACCAATTGTGGCTTGACCAGTATGAGTGATCGGCAAAGTATGGCCATTTCCAACCTTGACACCATCAGAGCCGCGATAAGGGAGCAAAGAATGGAGATTACCTGGACTGCTCATGATGTGATATGTGGCTCCTGTGTCCAGAAACCAAGCAGAATCCTGAGTATTAGCAAGTTTTACAGCCGCAAGTGCTTGTGGAATATTGTCTGCAGAAAAGGAATGGTTGAATCGGTTAACGCACTTAAGTGCTGTATGATTTTGCTTGTTGCAAATCTGACAGATGGGGGTTTCGGCCTTATTGGCATAAGCCAGCTGTTTATGAGAAGAAGGAGAAGACTGCTTTGGGGCAGAATTTTGGCCTTGAGAAAATCCTCTCCCTTTGGAGATAAATGTTGCCGGAGGTCCACTATGTCGTTTAAACTTGTTGGAATTGTCAGTGGGATTGTGGGATTGAGGGTAAGAACGTTGCCCATAGAAAGCCATTTGAGGAGATTGAGGAGCGTCAAGATGATGACGATCGGCATAACTTTCTAACATAGTTACAACCTCAGAATGGAGGGCGAAGCATCATTGTTAAAAAAATGTCATATTCCTTGCCAAGCCCATTGAGAAGCCATCAAGATTTCTTGTGATCGGAAACAGGCTTTCCTATGGCAGCAAGATCATCACAGACTGCTTTAAACAGTCGTAGATAGACTGCTAAGGTATCATTCCCGCGGGTCATGGAAGTTAGTCGCTGCTTGAGGGCGAGGCTGCTATCAGACGAAACTCGAGCAAAAGCATGGACTAAGGCATTCCAGACCTCAACTGCAGTGTGAAGGCCTACAACAATGACAAGCACATCTTCCGAAAGAGTGGCAGTGAGCCATCCCTTAACGAGACGATTGGACTTGCGCCATTTGACAAATGCGGGATTAGGTTCGGAATCAGATTCACCAATTGTGATGAACTGAGATGGTGGTTTGATGTCACCATTTATAAATCCTTGAAGATCATAACTCTCGAGGATGTTGAGCATTTGGGTTTTCCATAGAAGGAAGTTAGTCGAAGAGAGACGGAGGAACACAAAATTAGCGGCATTTTGCGTCACTGGGTATGGGTAGTCTGGAATTTCAGTTGCTGAAGACAGACTTTGGTTGCTGGACGTAGTGGACATGTCTTCAAAGAAGGAGGAAAAAAAAATCTGATAGACAAAGAAAAAAAAGAAATAGCAGAACTCTCTTGTCTCACCGTTAAAGGCTCTGATACCATAAAGAGTTTTGAGAACTCTCTCACGATGAGATGAGTGGAGTTTGTATTCAGTTTATATAAAAAGATTACAGAGTGAATGTGACCCAATTAAATGGGTAAGTACAAGATAAATAGAAAATTAAGATAGTGCCTATCAACTATCTACTAGAGTATTTGAATTATTTGTGGCTCTATCATTAGACTTTGATCCATGAACGTTATCAAGTCCATGCATATGAGTGACATATAGGCAACTCGAAGGAACATTAAGGGAACTATGGAGGCNCTCTATCATTAGACTTTGATCCATGAACGTTATCAAGTCCATGCATATGAGTGACATATAGGCAACTCGAAGGAACATTAGGGGAACTATTGAGGCAACTAGCTAGCTATTTACCATTAAACATGAAGGGTAGAATCATATGATTGAGTCATATTCATGTAAAATATACTACGCCAACAACTTAGAAGCTTTATAAGTTCCACTCTTGACGGCTGCTATAACGATAATGGATAACAAAGATCTATCCACATTTGGGCGGGCCTACCCCTCTTGTTTGCCCATCCATCCCAAATGATTGTGAACCTAGCTGGGAACAGATTGAGACTTACGAATCAAAGACCTAGACATCTCGCGGAACAATCCTATGTTTACCATAATTGGTTTGATTTTGTTTGCAACCACCCGTGTTCTTTATAATAAGAGACGAAGCCCAGTTATGGCCTAGGTGTCCATGGCCATCAAGTTCTCAAAATTTTACTTTATAACTATAAGTCAAGATCGATATTTAGTTCCATGACCCTCTTAAGTTTACCAAATTNGACGAAGCCCAGTTATGGCCTAGGTGTCCATGGTCATCAAGTTCTCAAAATTTTACTTTATAACTATAAGTCAAGATCGATATTTAGTTCCATGACCCTGTTAAGTTTACCAAAGTACACTCTATACTCTTGTATTATGAGAAATCTGCAGAAGCACACAAACATGATGAAATTTGTTGAACTAAGTGATTACGTAATAAAACCGACCTAAAATTCTCGACTGTCTTCTTGAATTAATCAGAAATATTTTACATCTAATTTGACAAGTATGAGTTAATTTTTTTGAATGATTTCTATAGACTTGATACAATTAGAAACCTGGCATTAAATTTCTGATTACGCTTCTAATAGACTACTCGTACAAAATTGAGAGATTTGTCATTCTAACGATGTCATGTGGTGTGTGTGTGAATATATGTACAGGTTTGGAGCAATGATAGGTATGAAAGTGTGGAGCATAATGCAGTAGTGAATTCTGAGAAAGGCAGGATCTCCATGCCATTCTTCTTCAACCCTGCTCACTACACCATTGTGGAACCTTTGGAAGAGCTGATAGATGATCAAAACCCTGCAAAGTATAAGCCATATAACTGGGGGAAGTATTTCGCAAACCGAAAACACAGTAATTTCCAGAAGCTTGATGTTGAAAATATTCAAATCTATCATTTCAAGCTCTCAAAGAAATATGGTTAAAGGGAANCAAACCGAAAACACAGTAATTTCCAGAAGCTTGATGTTGAAAATATTCAAATCTATAATTTCAAGCTCTCAAAGAAATATGGTTAAAGGGGAGAATCGTCTTTGTGCAAGCATCATCAATACAAGTGTCTTAGCTTTGCCTTCCTGTAAAATATTATCCTCTGAATAATTATAAATAATGGATACTCCTATATATAAAGATGGATATTGAAATAAAATTTGCTTGTTGATTTTCCTTCTTCTGTTCTAGTCTACTTGGAGGTTATAGTTTTTAATGTGATGCATAAATCTGACCTGAAATAATGAGTTGTAGTTGAATAATTCCCGATGCCAAGTTGAAATTATACAATGTGTTAACACAAACCATGCATAAATGAACCAGATTAGTTTCAAACGTTATTAATCTAATTTTAGCATGAGAAACCCCTGAATAAGTATTGTGTTACTATATATGTCATCAGCCTTCACTGGGAATCTTCATCTAGAATGGCAATTTCAATAATTTAAGCATGCATTCTATCTAAGTGGAAATTTTCGTCACCACATGTTATTGTTCTATGAATCCAACATGAAATTAACAAGTTATTGTTAAAAATTCACGTACGATCTGCTAACGCAAGTAATAAACAAGGTAGATTAATTTCAAGCATGAATAACTCAATTTTTACACTACAAACCATTTTAGCTAGTATTTAGTATAGGAAATTGTGAATTTCTTTCATGTTTTTCTTTCTTTGATATGGTGGATTGTGGAATATTTTGATTTACAGGAGGTTTGTTAGTGACGAGTTTGCTAGAAAAAAGATGGGAGCAATATTCCTAGATTGCTATTTCACGAGTTGAATTGATCAATCCAAACACAGCACGATTGTTGAAAAAGTTTGGTTAGAATCAGGGCATCTTATATGAATGATAAATGATTAAATAAAAGTCAAATATTATTAAATAACAATTTAAAATAACACCATCGACATACAAAACAATGCAATTTGATTCAATTGTCACATTTAATTTTATTTTTGCCTCTGTTTCTGACAGAAGCCATGTTCATCTTGCTCCAGAGATTTCTATTGTTTTTTGAGGAAGAAGACAGTTACCATCATCTACCCTTTTCAAGCTAAGATTTTCCTATTTATATTGTCTAAGTAGAGTGGTCCTCACATCATAATTAGTTGTCCCTCGATCTATTAGAATATCGGAGGAAATATTGGACCATAGACTACATTCTCTAGGTATGACGTGACTTTCTAAAAATTTTATTCTTAGATGAGATCTGGAGATGGCGGTACTCTTCATCCCTCTTCCTCTTGTGGCCCAAGTTATTTTAGTTTAACCGAAATTGTTTGCAAAATTGCTTACTTGATCCCAACTTGTGTCTGAGTTGAGCTAACTTGTCTACTTCTGCTATTGAGCAAAGTTATCTTTTTTATTCTTAGTATTATCAGTATTCCATAAGTATTAAAGCACGAAATAGTTTGATTCACATGTTCTCTAGGTNTATTGAGCAAAGTTATCTTTTTTATTCTTAGTATTATCAGTATTCCATAAGTATTATAGCACAAAATAGTTTAATTCACATGTTCTCTAGCTTCCTCTTCAAAATTTACTTGTAGTCTTCATCTTTGATTTCCCGTTGATTTTTTGCTGTCTAATTCACAACAAGAATCCGTAAATAATTTTAATAAGAATAATGCTACATTGACCAAATAAANATTCACATGTTCTCTAGCTTCCTCTTCAAAATTTACTTGTAGTCTTCATCTTTGATTTCCCGTTGATTTTTTGCTATCTCATTCACTACAAGAATCCGTAAATAATTTTAATAAGAATAATGCTACATTGACCAAATAAAAGGACCAAAATAAGAGACCAAATGATATGGTGGTTGATGTGTCAAAGCTGATTAATAAGCATCAAAGTTGAAACATAGTAACAAATGTGCCTAGGTTTGATGCATATTTTACCACTCCTTATAACATATTCACACCTAGTTGTTCACTTCACCACATGGAGCGTTTTGTATTCGGGGAGAAGACTACTGTACTAGGAAAAAAGAAAGAATTTCGTATTGTATCTCCAAGTTTTATAAGTTTTGTAGGTTTTTATACAATTTGTTTGGTTTGTTTAGCATAAAAAAAATTTACAATTTTTGGGGATCTTACAATTTTTTAAGTTTAAGTTATAATTTTTTTTGACAACTTTTTATGGCAATTTACAATGATGGTATGATACAGACACTTTTTTTCAGCTTGAGATATAATACCAAAAAAGAATGAGTAATATTACATGAATCTTATTTAATAACTTTGTTTGATAACGTTGTCATTCTCTATCATTAGATTGACAGTGGATCCCACTATTAGTTGCAACACACTATCAATTTAATGGTTATAATCTATTATGTCATCAAATAAAATCACTAAATTAAATATAAATAGCATTTCCCAAAAAGAAAACTAGTCGTGCCCAAGTTAGTCTCCTTTTTTTCCCGACAAATCATTTCAAAGCAAGTGCATACACAACTATGACATCAATATAATATATAAAAAATTTGAATTTCATCTTCATATATTTTTTTCGCTTATTTTTATCATAACTTAAATTATTTTATATTTCATTAATCTATGACTCAATATAATTTTTATTTCAATTATTATCCATATATGATATTATACACATCTTTATTTTTTTTATTTTTTTTTGAGATCATATATTTTGAAAAACAAAAGTGACAATATTTTTAAGAAAAATGAGTAGACATCAATTAAATTATGTAATTTAAAAAAAAAAACCTACTATTTCATAAATTGGAATCGAATTTCTAAATGTTCGAAATTTATGTTGTATCATACCTTAGTCATGGATTATTAAGCTTAATTACAACCTACAAGGGTTTTTGCCATGGACTCAGAAGGTTCAAACATAGGATTACATGCGTCCGGGGTCAATGTATATGATAACTCCCACCCACCCCTCATATATATGTGTATTTATATACACAATAACATTGACGGTTTTTTGTCACAACTTAAATTGCTTCCCATGTGTCACCCACCACTCACCTACAGCCATGGGAGAAGTAGACACAACCTTCATCCAAGCCATCGAGCACCGTCCAAAACTCGTCGTTGTCGAAGCAGAGGACATTCCACTGATCAATCTCTTCGTTCTAAACTCCCCCAACTCGTCGGAGCCCGAAGTCGCAACCATAAGACCTCTTATATCTAAGATAGCTGAGGCCTGCAAGAATTGGGATTTCTTCCAGGTGATCAACCATGGGGTGCCATTAGAATGCCAAAAAAACCTTGAGATCGTGGCGAGGAAGTTCTTCGCTCTATCGAAGGAGGAGAAGAAAAAGGTGAGGAGAGATGAAGTGAACCTATTGGGATATTATGATACTAAGTATACCAAGAATGTTAGAGACTGGAAAGAGGTGTTTGATCTTACAATACAGAATCCAACACTGTTTCCTGCTTCTCATAAGCATGATGATAAGGAGCTGAGAGAGTATTTTAATCAGTAGCCCGATAATCCACTAGAATTGAGGTAATTTTTTGAATTATTTTTGTTCGAGTAGTAAAAGAAATACATTTTTTTTTAAATTCTCTTCTTGACGAATCATTAATCATTAATCAGTACGAGACTAACATGTGCAAAGTGAATCTTGCTTTAACACAAGATAGTAAATTGAATCTCGCTTGAATATAAAATAGGCTAGCTTCCTCACCAAAGCATGTGTGTAGCTATTCTAATTTGGTGACCTCTTTCTCAAGGCTTTGCTGCTCTTGGGTCGCCTCCCTCCTTCCTCGATCGTCATTTTCGGGATGGTTTGCCACATTTTTGTATTTCTTTAATGGAGAGAGAAAATAAGGGGAGAAAGAGAAATAAAAATATATGGATAGAGAGAGAGTAATGCTGTCTTGATTATGCAAGAGAGAGAAAGATTTTGAGAGAGAATATATAGGGAGAGAGAGTAATTGTTAGAGAGAATAGGGAGATAGAGTGAGAGCAAGAGAGAATGATTAAATGGCAATGGATCCCATTAAAATTAATAATCAACCCTCCATGTAAGTAAATAATTATTCATTATTCCTCCATGTAAGCAAATAACTACTCTAGTGGGGTTTACCTTGTCCACTTAGTGTTTTATTATTAGTTGGTGATATCATGTCAACATTACTGACATAGTATCCCCATTGCATTCAATATTTACTCGAGAGAGAGTAATAGTGAGAGAAAATAGAGAAAGTGAGAGAGAGTTTGATGCATTAGTAAGTCTGCTTTGAGGGTACTTCAGTTATTTTGCTTCAAAATGAACTTTTATTCAAAATATTTTTCTAAATAAACTTTTATTCAAATAAGTCTTAAAAACTATACCGCTTTCATTTTTCCCTATTTACTTACTAGTAGATCTTGGTCTTCCAGAGAAGAATGCGAACACTATGCTCAGGAAGGGCAAAAACTAGCTTAAAAGTTGATGGAACTAATCTCTCTAAGCTTAGGTCTGTCGGCTAATCGTCTGAATGGATTCTTCGAAGACCAAACTAGCTACATGCGGCTCAACCACTATCCAACTTGTCCCATTCCTCACCTAGCTCTTGGGATTGGCCGCCACAAGGATTCCGGTGCCCTGGCCATCCTCGCTCAAGACGATGTTGAAGGACTCGAAGTGAAGCGAAAAACAAATGGAGAGTGGATTCGGGTCAAACCTATTCATGATGCACATATTATCAATGTTGGTGACATTATTCAGGTACCATAATCCATGCACACGAGTGAGTTATAGGCAACTCGATAGAACATTAAGGTAACTATTGAGACAACTAGCTACTTACTATTAAACATAAACGGTAGAATTATATGATTGAGCCATAGTCATGTAAAATGTACTATGCCAACAACTTACAAGCTTTATAAGCTCTAGAATAGTATTGAATAATGATACAACTGCCGTAAGAATAACAGATAACTAGAGTAAAAAGAAAAGATCTAGCCACATTTGTGCGTTCTATATTCACCATAATTGGTTTGATTTTGTTTGCAACCACGCATCCTTGATAATCATAGACGGAGCCATGTTGTGGCCTAGATGGTCGTCGCCATCAAATTCTCAAAATTTTACTTAATAGATCGATATTTCAATTTCCGTGGCCCTCTCAAATTTGTTAAATTATACTCTGTAATCGAGTACTATGAGAGATCTGCGCACACACGCGTGTGCACACTCATTGTTTTGTTTTGTTATGGTTTTCGCACTTGGAATACTTATGATGAAATTTGTTGTAATAAGTAATTAAGTGATAAAATCATAAATATTTTGCAACTTAACAAATACGTATTAATTTCTTGATTAGACGGAATGATTTTCATAGGCTCGATACATTGGAAACCTGGCATTACCAATAACTCATGAATGGTGTTCATTGAATAAATTTTTTTGATTACGCTACTATTAGACTACTCATACTAAAAATGAGAGGTTTGTCTTGTTGTCAATGTCATTTGGTGTGTGTGAACATATGTACAAGTTTGGAGCAATGAAAGGTATGAAAGTGTAGAGCACAAGGCAGTAGTGAATTCTGAGAAAGACAGGTTTTCCATTCCATTCTTCTTCAACCTAGCCCACTGCACCATGGTGGAACCCCTAAAAGAGCTGACAAATGATCAAAACCTTGCCAAGTATAAGGCATATAACTGGGGGAAGTTTTTTGCAACTCGAAGATGCAGTAATTTTCAGAAGCTTGATGTTAAAAATATTCAAATCTCTCATTTCAGGCTCTCACAGAAATCTGGTTAAAGGGAAGAATTGTCTTTGTGCAAGCATCAAGAATTGTCTTAGCTTTGCTTTCTTGTAGACTAAATAAAGTTGCTTGTTGATTTTCTTCTTCTCTCCCATTCTACTTAGGGGTCATAGTTTTTTATGTGATGCATTAACACAACACAAATTTGACACAGAATAGAGAGTTGTAATTGAATAATTCCCGGTGTCAAGCTGAAATGATACGATGTATTAATACAAATTATAAATGAACCAGATTAGTGTCAAACATTATTAATATGATTTTAAGACAAAAAAACTCGTGAATAGTTATTGTGTTACTAATATATGCCCTCAGCCTTCACTTGGAATCTTCATCTAGAAAGAAAATTTCAATAATTGAAGTATGCATTCTATCTAAGAGTGGAAATTTTTGTCACACATGTCAATATCATATGAATTCAATGTAAAATTAATAGGTTAGTGTTAAAAATCTAAAAGTGGTACAATCTGCTAATATAAATAATAAACGGGGTGGATTTGTTTCAGGCACGAATAACTCAATTTTGACACGACAAACTCATTTAGCTAGTCTTCAATATCGAAAATTGTGAATTTCTTTCATTTTTGTCATTCCTTTGTATGGTGGATAGTCTTCAATAACTCAATTTTGACACGATACCATCTAAAAGCAAAACGATATGAATTGATTCGATTGTTGCATTTAATTTTATTTTTGCAAATCTACTTCTGACGAAAGCCATGTTCATTTTAGCCTCACAGTGGCATTCCGAATATACCCCGATATTGTCTACATGTCTGGACATGTTCCCAGAAAACTCAATCTCCAAGGAAGAATCCTCATACAAATTCAAAATAAACAATTTCTGGACTTTGGAGTAACTTAAAAATATCTGTAAATATATTGGGTGAATGACACTTTGTCCTCTAAAAAATTTCAAATTTTTACTTATCACCCCATTTTTTACGTTGCACCCTAAATTTTTTAAATTGAAGCAATTTGTCATAAAAGTTACAGATGATTTGCTTCTGTCTCCTCGCTTGGCACATTCCGTACAGAGGAAAAAAATGACCGGTGCTTTTGGAATACATTGGGCACGTTTTGAACTGACTTTTCATGTGCGAAACAAATGTTTGAAAAATGAAATGAAAAAGTCAGAGTTAAAAAACCTCTTAGAACCATTTAGAGTATTTCCGAAAAAATCATTTTTTCTTTGCAAGGGCTTGCATAAGCCTCATTTTTCAATTTTTTTTTGTTGCTGATGGAAAAGCCGCCCAGTAAACTTGAGTCCAAACAGATCATGCTTCTTTTCTTCCCTATTATATACTAATTGAAGAAATTACTGATATAATATGAGAATTTTAATCTTTTAAGGGATGAAAAAAAATATTAAAGTAGTTCCCTTCATCCTAATATCTGAAGTTATATACTCAAGATAAAATAATTGAACTTGATAAGGGTGTATAAAATATGATTTGTTGACTATTTGTGTCTATGACTTCTAGACAGAAGGAGAAGAAAACAAGGAGGAAATTAGAAAAAAAAGCACCATGTTATGTTTGTATTTGTTCTCATCTTCTTCTCTCTCCAAATGGTGAATGCAGAAAGATCCGAGCAGCCATGGCTGGCCGGAATCTGGCAAGCACTTTGTGCTAATTCATGGGGCATGCCTTGGTGAATGGTCTTGGTAGAAGCAAGTGCAACTTCTAAAATCGGCAGGCCACAATGTCACAGCTCTTGACTTGGCTGCTGCCGGGATCGATCCGAAACAAGTGAAAGATGTTCCTTCTCTCTCCGATTATTTTCAGCATTGCTGGACTTCATGGTCGCTCTACCTTCACATGAGAGAGTCATCTTGGTAGGTCACAGCCTTGGAGGGTTGGCTATTTCTTATGCCATGGAGAGATTTCCAGAAAAAATTTCAGCTGCTGTTTTTGTCACTACCTTGATGCCTGGTCCAACCCTCAACATATCTAACCTCAATCAAGAGGTATTCCTTGCTTTTTTGCCCATTTTCACTCTTTTTTTTTCTTCATTTTTTTTGTTGATATGTGAGGTGTTTTATTGTGGTTTTTGTTGATATACAACCCAAATTCATATATCATCTATTAGAGGAGTGAGCCTCATCAATATTTTCAGTAGAATTTACTCATTCAAATGATAATATATATTTAAATTACAATTTTTTAGTTTCATTTTGATCGTGTAGCATTTTCCTTTCATGGAACTCTTGCATCTATCATATCAAGTGTTGTTGGTTTCACTTTTATGCTTTTGAAATTCAAATTTATTCCATTATGGTGGGGCCTACATGAAATTGAATACATCTCCATCAAAAGCAAATTAGTTGAACAGAAATGAAACTAGTCAAACAAAAAATTGTTCATATTTTGACTAGATGCGAGGATAAGGATGTTGAGCAAACTGTATCGTTTGGGCTCCTCTCTGTTTCAACACATCCATAGGGTTAACTCGTATGACAAAAAAAAAAAAAAAAGTTACTCACTATTGAGGGCCGTAATTTTGACATTACATTGATACGAACTCGACATGACTCAATTGTCATCCCACTACTTGCCATGGTATAATCGGACCCTTTTGTACATTAACTAATTCTCATGGCTAATTACTTCGATTCTTTATCAAAGTCATTCAGGAGACGAGAATTTATACTCGATAGTCGTTATACATATGATGATGGACCCAGCAATCCTCCAACCACCTTCATCTTGGGCCCCTTGTACTCAGCAACAAATGTATTTCAGTTCAGCCCAATTGAGGTATGCAGAATCGGAATGCTAAATAGTAAATTACATTTTATCCCCTTAAACTATTACCTTTATTTCACTTTATACCATCAACTATAAAAAATTAACATTACACTCTAAAGTATCAATTTTGTTTCATATCACTCCAATAAATAATGGGTATCAATTTTTTAACAATAATGTGCATGTGAGTGTGTGTTATGTGCTGCCAATAAATAACTGTCTATTGCACATATATAGGTTAAAAATCAAAAAAAATATTTATCCATTCCTAAGCTCTACATTTTCTTCGTCTTGCCAACCTTTTTTTTTCCTTCTCAGCAATCATATTTGGCTGCAAAAAAGGTAAAATAAAAAAGTAATACTATTTGGACCTAAAAATCTGATCTAATTTGTTGACATAATAATATGGTTTCATAGAAATTATTGGATCAACACCAAGTTCTAATATTTGATGGGTATACAGTGAATTAGGTCAACAAATTGTGTCAATAAATTAGATTTCAATAGAATTGCTTAAAATAAAATGGTACTAAACACTTGATGGAAAACTTTGGAGTTTCACTCTCTCTTTTAATAGATTTTCAAGTTTATCCTTTTAATCCGTCAAAAAAATGACAGTCGTTATATATTGATATGAAATAAAATTGATACTTTAGAGTGTAATATGAGAAATTTTATAGTTGATGGTACAAAGTAAATAAGGGTAATAGTTCAAGGTAAAATATAATTACCCATACTTAAAACATTGAATTATGCACAAACGAGTATGAAATTTAACCATTATCAAGCGATGTTTCTTATCATTTTGCCACATTTCTCACAGGATTTGGCACTGGCAATGTTGCTGCTTAGGCTGCTGCGTTTGTACAGTGACGAAGACATGTCAAAGGTGCTGATGTTGTCGGGAAAGAGATATGGTTCGGTTGATTGGGTTTTCGTAATTTGTGATGAAGACAAGCTGGTAAAGAAGGATTTTCAACGATGGATGGTCGAGAAAAATCTCCCCAATGAAGTGGTGGAGATCACAGGAAGCGATCACATGGCCATGATGTCTAAGCCGGTTGAGCTTTCGGTTCATCTCCGGTGCATTGCTGACAAGTATTATTGATCATCTAATAAGTTTTCGCCGCAAGGAAAAACAGAAATGTTTGTGTGTGTTTGTGAAAGAGAGAGAATAACTTAGCAAGATGCTGGTAATTGACCAGTCTAACCAACCACTTCATGCATATCTATAAGTATAAATTGTGTGAGAGAAAGGGAGAAATATGCCAAACCATGTTCGACTCTAGTAGCTAGTGAGAGGAAGATAGCATCATATGAAGGGATTCTTATTCTTGATCCCACAGCCACCACGACCGTCATCGCCCCAGCACCACCATTGGCCACCATCATCAACATTGCCCATCACCACCACCACTGTTAATCCTAGCTTTGCCACTACCACTATCGTCACCCAAAACTCACCATCACCGTTGCCACCCACAATCGTCGCTACCCACCATCACTACCACCGCTCAGTTCTACTATAATCGGTACTTAAATTTCTTTCTCCCTCTTTTATGTCTATGATTTGATTGAGTCTGAATACAAAAATGTTTATGATTGATAATTTTTTTATTATTTCGTACATATAGGTACGGCAATAACTAGTATATATATATATATATACTAGTTGGTGTATACGTACGTTGCAAGTGAGCTATTTCAAATTATAGTTTTGTTTTCTTATTCTAAGAGAAACAATTCCTAATCTTTTATCAAGGTTAGCTTGATACCCTCAAACTTTAAGGGAAAAAAATTAAATGTTTTGTTTCAATTTACTTTATTTTCTATCATCTAATTGAAATTAAGAGGTTGTCAAGACTCTACAAGCTATTTCATTCTCCCAATTTGCTTAGATTTTTTTTCACTTCACTATTGTAGTCTCTGCACCTTGAGGATATGGCCAGTGAGCAAGGTTGAGACTAACAACAAATCAAATAAATTTACTTCCTAAAATTATGAGGAATGAGTACATGAACATGTCTAATAGTTATGTTATATTAAACAAAACAATAGATAACTATATAAAATTTATGGTGTCCTAGTATAGAGGATTCGCACATCTTAGTAGATAGCAATATTCTTGTGTTTTGATAAATAATTTCTCTGTATTTTGTGTTTTATCATATATTCTTGAGACCCTATGTCTACATTGACCAAATCCACTAAACTTGTCCAATTCTTCCAACATTTATCTAGTCAAAATCAATACAAAATAGTGAGATTGAACAAAACTATGCAAATTTTGGCCATATGTCATGTCAGGCCCTCATCTTCATATGTTATCCATCGTTCGTTACTCTTAGATGTTGAATTTTCTTCATTATCAAAATGAACAAACCTTAATTAGAATCAAAAAAATTAAGGGAATATACACATTCATGCACAAAATAGAAAAAAACAAGAACAAAAAGTGAGATCAATTGGTTAGTGGAAAGAGAAATAGAGAAAATAATTCACATAATTGTGAAACTTAACAGCTATAGAAGTTTTCTAACTTTTATGTTTTGATTGTTACAAGAGAAAAGAGAATGTATATGAAATAAAAAAGTTCAAATTGGCTAATCAATATTAAGTTAAAATCTGAAAGGTCAAAAAATAAATGAAACAAACAAGAAACTTTTATGGAATGTGTTGGAGGAAGGATTAAAAGTCCAATTATTTGAAAATAAAAAAATAATTTTTTTATATACTATTATTTGAACAATCATGTACAAGTGTATCAATGAATCAATAAGAAATTAAGTGGCAATAAAGTGTCTGCAAAAAATTGAATTAGATAATGGTTGTATTGTAAACTAAATGGTTGGTGAAAAGAATTTAGGAAAGAAAGAGGCATCAACTTGTGAAATAAGTAAACGTACATTATAAGGAACAATCATTTGAATATTTAATTATTAGGGATATACTTGGTTTTAACCTTTTTAATTGGAATATAATAGTCAATTAAAAAATTTTCACTTAACTTCCTTTCATTAGTAGTGTAGATATATAAAATAAAACGGTTAGGTGTTTGAAATTTTATCTCATACATATTTTTCCCCCCAAAACTATCTCATCACTTATTTTTATCACATGTTTAATTATTTAATATTTGATTAATTTATAGTTTAACATAATTTTTATTTCAAAAATTAACCATACACGATATTATACACATTTTAATTAAAGCTTAAAATGGCGAAATCATATTATGCTAAGGCCTGCACTTTAATCTCTGTCTTTAATGAGGAAAATATGAAAACAAAAAAAAAACCATATAATAGAAATAATATTTTCTTAATTTAAAAGATTAAGTAATTAATCAAATAATTAATCAGTTAAAAAAGTGAACATGCAGATCACATGGGTGATCGGTTGGTGGTATAGAACAAGTTTATGCTATGATGTGATGTACTAATGTACAAAGAGAACTGGACCATTTATCTGTGTCCATCTCATTATTGATATTATCCTTTGCAACATATATATATAGCACTTTTCAAACTATTTTTTAAAATTAATTATAGAAGTTGATTAAGAGCGATGACAAGTATTTATCTTTATAAATGACTATGTAAATTGATATTCACTTTTGTTCTTCAACAGCACTTGTTATGTTATGAACAAAGGCCGAAACAAGCGAAAGGTACGAAATAGAAAAATATAGAACACAATTTTTCGTGGATCGATTCAAAAGCTTATATTCACAGGCCAAAAGTAGCAATAAAATTTTACTATTAACAAAGGGAGAAGAGATTACACAAAATTTTCTAATCCAAATAATATAACCACACACGGATGTCCAAAACTGAAGACCAAAATCTCCAAAAGAAACTGAATGGTCTATAATCTATTTATACAATAGGGTTTCTAATTGATCTTTAACAAGTCTAAAT